TCTCTGTAGTGCCAGGACTCAGGAGAGAACTGAGATACACGAATACAGACACTGTATATGATAAATATATGGAAAACAGATAGAAAGAAGTTACACACACACAAAAAAAACAAAAACCGGAAAAAGATGAAATGCTCCAATTCACTCCCCAGGCAGATGGTCCCCAAGAGCTCTTGCCAAGAAAAAAAAAATCAGGGCCCATATTCACAAAACATTTTATCTTACCACTAAGAGTTCTCCTAAATAGAGGTAAAAGTTTTTAGCTAAGAGTTTTCTCTTAAAACCTATTCACAAAGCTGCTGAGACAAACTTTTACTAAGGAATAGAGAGAAGTCTTAAGCTAAGAGTAAGGGGGCGGGGTTGACCTCGCTTACTAACTATTCACACAGTGATTGGCTGATGGGGGAGGGGTCTCTGTCAGAGATTTATTCATAGAAATATTGTAGAGCGCAATATTATGTTGCCATATTCATAAAGGTTTAAAAATAAAAAAAATATGCACATTCAAATAAAGATTTTAAAATGCAGACTAAGTGTCAATAAATTAAACAAGAATGTGTTCAGTTATTTGTCAGCCTCTCCTCGTAAACAATTAGTGGATATGCATATAAACAGCCTTTTAATTAACGGAGTAGAATAATCATGGCTGATAGTTCCTCAACACCAGAGAAACTCAACCTTTTGACACCTGTCCAATTCAGAACCATCGGCATGGAAAACCAAGGAAAAATGGACTCGTTTGTTCAGTTATTTGTCAGCCTCTCCTCGTAAACAATTAGTGGATATGCATATAAACAGCCTTTTAATTAACGGAGTAGAATAATCATGGCTGATAGTAAGCTAGTTTTAGAGCAAAAAACGTTTGTGAAAAATTCTTAGAGCAAAAATGTAGGGGTCCTAAATTTAGGACTGACACGCCTATTCTTTTTAAGATTTTCTCCTAAATCGGCAAGTTATGAGCTACTTTTAGCCTTAAAATGTTTTGTGAATATGGGCCCAGTCCTATCTAATCATGGATAAACACAGCGACCTCCCTACAGACACACACACAGGTCCTCAGAAAAAGGTGAGACTCCTCTGCCGAGTTCCTCTTTGGAATAATGGCTTCTCTCTCGAGTGCTTCCAGAACATTCTAGAGAGTGAGAGATTGATGGAGGAGCGGAGCAGGCCTGCTTTTTTCACTTGATGTGGCAGCTGTAAATCTGAAAGCTTGTGTGTGTGTGTGTGTGTGTGATATTTTCACTGCCGTAATGTCAGGGAATTTTATTTATTTCTCCACCTGTGTGGGGATTCTTACATTTTAAGATGGGGTTACATTGTCTATTAGTATATAATGAAGAGGAGTTATGTGTGTGTGTGAGCACACCTGGTTTCCTTCTAACTGTAATGTGACAGTAAGAGGGTCTGAAGCATTTGTCAGTGATTCTCAGCAGTAAATGCTGTGGACACATTTTGAGCCAATTACCTCTCGTCAGAGAGAAGACGTTTCCCCACTACGGGATGGCAGTTTGTTTGTGTGTGTGTCCTAGATGTGTTATGCAATGGTGTTGCTAACAGGTTTCTGTGCCATTTCAAGTCACTTAAACCTCAGTGCTTCACACACATAGTAAACATTCAACCTGGAAAGGACTGACAAGTGACATGTTCAGAATAACCATAGATGTACCATAGATGTCTTAAACAATTTAAAACTCTTTTTAAACTATTTAGAATTAAACAATTAAATTGTATTCCTTGCTGAATAAAAATATTATTATTATTATTGCTTTTAAATAAATAAATCAATAACACCAAGCTTTTGAATGGTAGTGCGTCACAGTTTTGGTTTTCAGCATAATAATATGAACTGTTTCTGGAGAACTAAATCAGCGACTGGAGTAATCAAATCAAAATGTATTTATAAAGCACCTTAAAAAACACCAAAGTGCTGTGCAATTTCAAAGAAATTAGATAAAACACAATAAAATACAAAGAAAGAGATAGATAATACAATAAAGCAAGAGAAAAATGAAAAAAAAAACTAATATAAATGCATCTAATCCAAACCAGTAGTCCTCACAAAGCAGCAAAGGCCTCATCGAACAAATGTCTTAAGATGGGTTTTAAACATGTTTACAGAGGTAGACAATCTGATAGCTATTGGTTTAATGGATATATGATGTCTGTCTTATGGTTTCTATAGAGTATTCTAATTGCTCCACTGACCTCAGCACTCACATGCGTCATGACAGCTTTTTTTTCCTTCGTTTTTTAAATTTTTTTTATCTCTCATTCTCTTGTTCTGTTGACAGTTACAGTTGAACACACACAAGACAGTGCATTAATCCTTCAGTCTGTTGCTCCGAGATCAGAAGTGGAATCTTAAAATAGCTATTCCAATATGGAAAGGACGTTGTCAGAGTGCTTTAATACTCCAAGAAAAAAACATGAAATTGTGATGCGTATTGCTGTGCTGTGATGTGCATTGTGTGTGATATTCCTTCAGGGAAGGACAGTCAGGTCAGCCACTGCTGTCGATTGTTTAGACACAGTGAGATGCTAAAGTCCATTGAGGTGAATGTGAGTCAGTCCATTTGAAAATTTCAAACTGTATCATTGCTTCGGATCCGTAAAGAATGTGATAATGGCTCTGACCCAGACTGAGGCTGGAGTTTATGAGTTTATAAAGGCCTCTTCTTCTGCCATATGAAAGCATTTATAGACTTTCATGTAGATATTTCAGTCCTGCATCTTTTTATGCAGTAAATGTTTATACAACATGCCTTCTGGCAATGTTAATTTCTCTGATATTACCATATGCATTTCACAAATCTGAATATGCATATTCCAAATTTGCATTGTGTCCTTTCCGCAAGAGGGTACTCGGTTACAATGTCATAATGTGCATTCTCAACTTTTGTAGCAGGCAATGTAATTTCCTTATGCTGTAATTACAGAATATGCTGTAAATCTTCTCCACTTCTGTTGGTTGCGTTTACTTTTGGGCCATAGTGTTAATTGTGTTCATGTTTTTGAGGTTTAGTTGAGGAGAGCCTCTATCTCTTAATCACTTACATTCTCTTCATGCACTAATTGCTTGGGTTATGTCCACTAATAACATCAGAGGTTCTGCCTTAATTTTAACCTTTCTCTGAGGGCTCTTGTCACAAGGAGTGATGGGGGTCGGAAAGAAGAAAGACAGAGAGAGAAAAAACAATCAAGACTGGGGCCAGTCACAAACTGGCCAGTGAGAATATGAACAGAGACAGTTTGTCATTGTTTTTAATACAAGTTGTTGTTATGATCAACTTTTATTAGAGAAGACTCATCTAAAGCTAAGCAGAAAATCCAAAATAAGTTTTAATATGATATTTTGAGTGGGGCTTAAAAATATAAATAAATAAAACATTTTTTATTTATATATATTTTATGTTCATAATACATTAATATTTATATCATACATAATACATTTTATATTTATATTTTTTTCATATAATGTATTAATGAATTAATAACTAATTGTAATTATTAACTATTTAAATATACTATATTCCATTTATAAATGTATAAAATAATATTTATAATTATATTTTGTATTTATGAAAAATATTTTATATTTTTATACATATTTTTTAATTATGTAATTTAATTATTTAATTTATTATAATTATTAAATATTTTATCATGTATAATAATAATTATTAGATATTTTATCATGTATAATAATGGACCGGCCAGAAGATGTCAGAACCTTTTCTCTCTTCAAATCTTTTGTTTTTGTTTTTTTTATATTTAAATTTATTTTGACCGCAAGCCTACAAGACGACTGTCCCAGCATCCCTGTGCTCCTTTTATGGCCAGTTCATCCCCAGCTTTACCGCAGTTAGTGAAATCAAATTTACTGTGTTGTTCATAAAACTTTGTTTGCAGATGTGTTGAAAAGGCATACAAGCAATTGTTGCCTTAAAAGGGGTCAGAAGGAATAGGTTCTAATGAGCTTTCATTTCCTAACGTTATTAAAAAACAACACAAATGCCGGCAGTTCTTGCCGTGATTGGAACTCATTCAATAATTTCTATTAGTTTTGTGTGAATAACTCTGTGCCAGGAACTTTGTGTGTCAGAGGAAGGTGTGTGATCTCAAACAAAGCCTCAGTGGGACAGAAAATGCTGTAATGTTCAAACAGAGAATGTTGCACTGTTCAGCTCTTGTTTTGCTGACTTTTAGAAAACGGGCAAAAGAGAATGACGGCCGTTCTCTGTCTGTGAGTTCCAGTGTCTGAACCAATCTATCAGTTTCAGATTTAAGAGTCAAATGCTCTCAGTATGGATTCTTCAAAACAAAGCAGATTCTTAAGAAAAACAGGCAAATGGGTGATGTGCGTGTTATTCTGCTAAACTTAAAATAATTTGTTCTCATCATTTAGTATTATCAGCTGAACTAAATGATTCCATCACCTCATATTAGTTTCAGTAAAGAACTTGATGATTTTCTTGTGTTGATAAAATGGGATTTGAAAAAAAACAAAGAGGTGGTGAAGAGATCAACAGATGTATAATTTAAGACTGATTCTCCAAACACATGCAGGTAGTCTGTGGGCAGACTATGGCAAGACAAAAAATGGAAGCTTTAGTGTGACGGCGGGAGAAGAAGATAAAACATGTATAATTTCCCAACACAGCACACATTTTCAGGAATACCCTTATGATGAAATTCCTATTATTACATGTTAAATGTTTAATTTTTATACTGGGCTATGCACTTCTTTTTAGATATTCATGTTACTATTTTATTTTGAATGACAGACATTTTGTCTTTTGTAAAGCTATTTTTATGGTTATGATTTTTAAATAATAGAGAAAGCAATTTTAATAACTCAACATGCATAAAAAGTCATACAAACAAGGAATTTGGTCAAATTACACAAAAAGAATGTTTAGCTAAGTGAAAGTTTTGTTTCCAGAATTTTTGTAGATGCCCTTTCCTATCTAACTGATGGTATTTCTTCTCTCTGTATCCAGTTTATATTCCGGAAAATCAGCGACATGAAGAAGGAGGAAGAAGAGAGGCAGCGCTCAAAGAATGAGGTTCCGCTCACCATTCCTGTGGACCACCCGGTCCGAAAACTTTTCCAGAAGTTTAAACAGCAGAAAGAGCTCCGTAACCAGGGTGCTTCGGCCCAGCTGGACTTGGAGAAAAATCAGCAGCATCAACAGCAGCCCACACACATGCCGAAACCTCACACCTCCCTCATGCAGAACTCGCTGCACGCGGTTCAGAATGGGTCCACCAGCAGCGTGGTCACCATCTCCCAGATCACACCCATCCAGAACTGCCTGGCCTACCCTAAAGCAGCCGACCCCATTAAACAGAACAACTGCGACATCATGGAACTCAAACCTGCTGTTGCCAGCGGTGACCAAGTCGCAAACCGACTCAAAGTGAATAACACCGCACGGACCAAACCCGCAGGAACCGCCCGTGGCTGGATGAGACTGAAAAACAACATGGCGGCCCCAGGTTCACCTCCAGAGGATGAGAGGAAAGATGGATTGAACAATGCAGCTAAGTCCGTGTCCATGGAGCGCATTTCACCAGAAGTCAAAGTTCAGAAAGAAAGTGTTGAGGAGGTTGGAGCATCCAGGAAGAATTCACTCCGCAAAACGGACTCTTGGGATAGTGGCTTGACATACAGCGACCAGAGACTGGATAGGGTTTCAGAACCCCAGAGCCCTGTTCCTGGAGTCGGTGGAGGAGAAGGATCAGCCCGGGATTTTTACCCCAGTAGCGAGAGCTCATTCCAGGCCACGCTGCAGGAGGCAAGGCTAGAGCTGCGGACAGACATCCAAGTCCTGAATGGAAGGATGGCAGCTTTAGAAGAACGGGTCGGACAAATTCTCAGGCTGCTTTTAGAGACTTCAAAGCCCACGTCTAGTGAAGATCCAACCTCAAAAATGCACAGACCCAAACTCAAAGCACAGAGCAGCATCCCAGTGTCCACACTCAGTACGCCAGACTCTGAAAAGGACGAGGGTTTGCCATAGGAAAACAGACTTTGCATTCAGTAAGTATTTGAGATGAAGCATTTGTAGCATCACTGGGGTTTTGGTGCATCCAAATTTGGCACCTGTACCTACATCTTGTACAGGAACGCCCAAAATAGGAGCTTGGGTTGGTTTCTAGCTTCGGATTTCTGAGGATAAAGCTGACACCTGAATATCTGTATGGGAACAGGAGTTGGTTTCTGGATCTAAATAACTGCCAGGAACTCTAACCCAATCAGAGAACAGTGGCGTGTACTGATAAATACAAAAATAAGAGGATTTTTAGTTTAGTGCTTTAATGTTCAATCAGCACTTTTTTTGCACACTGAAGTAATGGAACTACCCCCCCCCCCCTTTTTCAGTGTGAGTTTGTACAGTATACATAATGCAAGTCCGGCGGGGTTCTGGCTTGCCAAAAATGTTCAACCCTGATGACGTCTGTACAAAAATACGAAATTATATTTAAATGCTTGTATATTATGCAGTTAACTGCATGCAGATCTTTTTATTCTCACAGAATGCTTATTTTCAATGTTTAAATGAAAGAGACTGTTGATTGTCTTGATATCACCATAATTTACATTCAGGTTTTTAACAAAACGTAGCATGACAGATCACTTAGGAAGAAAGTGTCGTGTTTGAAACATTTACGTATGCATGAATGACTTTGACAGCATTCAAGAACTTTGCCTTAAAGGACCTAAACATCACTCTTGAAATAAAGCTGAAGAAAAACCTGCACTGGTTAGTATAGGACAGGTCTGTTTTTATTATTATTATTTATTTATTTTTAAATATTTTAATGTGTCAGGATTTTGGAGGGTTTAGGCCCTTCATTTATGTTCCACTCAATGTTATTGGAATTGTTTTATATTTATATAGCACCAGTAGCTGCTTTTGGGCCTGAAATGCAGCTTCACCACTGTATATCTGTTGACTGTATTATATGCAACCTTAATAAAAAATGGTAAATAAAAAATAACAATTGTAAGAGTAAACCACAATGTTTTGTTCTCGTATGCAAGATAACATTATAAATGATTTATATACATTGTATTTAAAAAAAATTTTTTAGAATATTTTAACTATTTTCCAAAATATGTTTAAATAATGCTGCTTAATAATGTCTCCCTCTTTGTTTCCAGGTAGCACAGAGTTAAATGTACCAGCACAGGTTAAGAGTGCAGCTCTCTGTATTATGGTCCTGCTGGTTTGATCCAGTTCTCTACAAAAGAAAGACAGATGAAGCTCTCAGCTGAAGTCAATTTTCAGGTAGTGGTGCTGCAGCTTGGCATCAAGCCCTCAAGATTTTTTTATTACAATCCATTTATCTCTCACTCTGTCTCTGTTTTTGCTGAGCTTTATAAAGATCTGGGTTGGTTTTAAAATATTAGTTTTGTGCTTTTATATTCTTTTATATACTCACACACACATAAATGTTGTTTCACAAATACAAGTCCATTTCAGCAGTAATGTGTGTTTGTAAATTTAAAACTAAAGACTTTGCTGTATTGAATATAAGATGAGGTCTGCCTTTTGTTTACTAAATATTCCCAGTTTTGGTTGGTCTCAAGGTCTCAATGAGCTGTTGTTCCTCAGTATATAGATCAGGAAAAAGACCAAGGGGTCAAGAGTTTTGCTAGTTACCTTTTTTTCTTTTTTTTACCCCTGTTAAAACTACCACTCTGCTGCTCGAAAGCATCTTTTAGCGTTAACATCCATTCTGCAGTAGCTATATACTGTAAGACGAATGGGAATTATTAGATTCTTACTGATCAGATTTTTTAGATATCAGATGCATGCAAGCTAATATTCTAGCTAAGGTCACATGGCCTAACTCTCTTTTTCATGTTGCTTTCTTTTCTCTGTCAATCTCTATGCCTTTTGAAAGAGCATATTGAAACATATCAGCGTAAACTTAAGATGATATGAAGCATTGAAGCATAGGAAAGTAATCATAAAATCGCTGCCCTTCAAAAATGAATAATCTCATTTTAGCCTGGATATATAATGTTGTGGACTCAGTCTACTTAGAAATTAATTATATTCATTGTCCAGTGATAAAAATTTGGTTATTACAAACATTTACATTATGATTCAGTTATTTAGTGAGCTTGATATAGTGCAGACATACAGTAAATAATAGTATTTAAAATGGCCAAAAATAAATTAACGTAAAGGTGAGAGAGAGAGATGTTGTGTAAGAAGACTGTACACTCTCTCTCCCATATCTTTCTTTCTTGCTTATATTTAGAACCTCATTTGGATGGATCTGTGCCTGTCAGCTCAAATGCTGAAAGATACTGTCTTGCCCATAAGTTGGGCCAGATTTAGAGTTTGTTTATTTGACAGTTAATTGAATGGAAGTGATTTAACAGAAGGGTAATTTTGGCAGTTAATCTGGGACAAAGGCAGCATTGGGGGAGGCTTGACATTTCTGGGAATGCTGGTGAATATCGTACATGCCAACATTAGCGTAGCGCAAAATCACTGGGAACAACGTTGAACAAAAGCAAGGACGGATTATGGCCCTAAGGCATCAACCTTTTTTGGAGGCCCCCTCTTATACCCCACACACGGTTTTTGCCATGGAGTTAAAATGGGGGAAATAGTATCTTGTAACTGCACTTTACAACACTTTATATTGCATGACTCAAAATCAAGAATTCAGTTTTAGCTTCTCATAACATATAACACAACTCTGTGGAAAGAAATTGAAGTGATCTGCATTTTTGTCCCACTTTTGTGAAGAAACCACCACATTTACCTGAAAATTTACCACGATTGTTTAAGATAATTAAGATATATGGAATTTTTTTTAAATGTTTTTTAAAGAACTCTTATTCTCTCCAGATCATCATTTATTTGATCAAAAGTACAGTAAAACAGTAATATTGTGAAATATTTTATTACAGTTTAAATAGCTGTTTTCTACTTTTATATATTTAAAAAGGAAATGTATTCTTGTGATGGCAAAGCTGAATATTCAGCAGCCATTACTCCAGTCTTCAGTGTCACATGATCTTTTATATCTCGCCGAGGCCGAACCCCGCCAAACTCGGGTCGAAGATAGAGACCTTGAGGCCCCCTATCCGACGACGATGCCCCCGAGTCAATAGCCCCCCTGGGGCCGGGGATAGCGCCCCCCAAAGTTGAATTGTTGACCGGCTAAATCTCGCCGAGGCCGAACCCCGCCAAACTCGGGTCGAAGACTGGCAGATTTGTTTAAAAAAAATATTTGAGGTGGTCTGCAGTATCTTGAGAGATGTAATGTCAAAGTAATAAATTAGTTTAATTTAATTTTAATTTAATTTAATGATTGATTTTTTCAGAAACCAGGACCACAGCAGCCCTTATTTTAAGTACATCTTTGTCGCAATGATAAACAACATTTTTGTCCCACTCTTGTGAAGAAACCACCACATTTATCAGAACAAAATCTGCACACATTTGTGATTGTGGAACTAAATGAAACTATATTAAACTGCTGGACCTAAATGCAATTTCCAGTGCAGAAACTGCTGAATTTGACCTCTGAGGCGTTACACACTGTGTTCAGGTTTATAATGGAAAAGGTAATAATCATGTGCATCTGCTACTCAATACAATGCCAGAATAGGAGAGGGAACTGTTTTCTCATCATTTTCACATTAGTGAGGTTTTAAATAATTTATCATGCAGGGACTGCTGGGACATGTGAACTCACAGTAATGCAGCATTCAGAAAAATTAGTCTTCAGTGCTGCAGTATTCTGATGATGAGCAAATTATAAATTATACATTATTCATATGTGTGAGATCAGCAAATGTAAAGTAAATACATTAAAGTTTAAATGGAGAAAAAGTTTGTCTGGTTGGCCTTAGATGGAAAGTCAAGAGCAGGTGGTAAATATATGACTATAAATGGCATTACACTATGAGTCAGTGATTGAGATGAGAGCAGCATTGAGCAGGTGGTTGGACCCCCTAATGATTTCTTTATCACACACATATGGACACGTGTCATAGTCACGAGACTTTTGCCTCTACCATCTACAAAACAAACACACAACAAATCTGACAAATAAGAAAAACAAAAAAATGTACTTGGCTTTTGTTACCTATCATGCACTGTGGCCATCGGATTATACAGTATTTTAAAAATGTATTTACTGTATGATTATTTAAGGTCATTTATATGGAAATAATGAAACACACTTCTGTTCAAAAGTTTGGGGTTACAGTCCTGTTCCTCATGTGCATACTATGTACTTATTATAGTAATTACAATAACTATATAATAACTAGGTACTAACCCTGAACCTACCCAAAAACCTAACCCTACCCTATGTAGTTACCTTGTATTACCAGAACGTTCTTAGGTAAGTACACTGTAAGTACACATACTGTAAAATAAAGTGCAACCAATTTTTTTAAATGAACGAAGTCTCTTATGCTCACCAAAGCTGCATTTATTTATTTTATAAAAATACAGTAAAAAAAATATTTTAGTGAAATATTCTAACAATTAAAAATAACTGTTTTTAAATTTAATATATTTTAACATGTGATTTATTCCCGTGATGGCAACGTTGATTTTTCAGCAGCCTTTACTCCAGTCTTCATTGTTACATGATCCTTCAGAAATCATTTTAATAAGCTTATTTATTTATTTTTTGTTTGCTCAAGAAACATTTCTTATTATTATCAATGTTGAACAGTTTTGCTAATATTTTAATGGAAATTGCGCTAATTTGTTTTTAAAGAAGGAACTTTTTGATAAATAGAAAGTTCAAATGAACAATAACTTTAGGAACATTATAAATGCCTTTACTGTCACTTTTGATCAGTTTAATACATTGTATAAATGCTAGTGCATGAGGATTTGTAGTTTTTCTGTTTCAAATTAAAAGAAGAGGATAGAACCCAAAATGCTATATAATTTATATAATTTTTTTTTCAGGTAATGACAGAAGACCACAGGTGTGGTGTTTGCAGTAATGCAGTTTTATTCAGTTTTGCTCTTTTCATGAAAAACGGAGAAGGAAAATACAAAGAAGATGAGAATGTAACACACAGTGACCATTTGAAAGTAAAATCTCTCCCATATGTACGTAGACCTCAAACAAATTGATTTTTGATTCATTTTATTCCTGCAGTGCACATGCTCTTTGGTGTTTTAACCATAACTAAAGTGGAGGCTGATTTCTCCATCAGACTGAAGTGATGCATTCAGTGGTGCTGGTGAGACAAACCCCACAATCACACCGGAGGGCCACTGGATATGTGTAGGATGGGTCCACGTCTGCGGAGCAGTTTGGCAGCTGCACCGTCTCTAATCGAGTTTCATTATAAGTGGACATGCGC